CATTGTGAGTTAAGGGTCGACTGGCCGCCGGACTCCAAACGGCTTCAGCAAAGCAAACAGAGGCAGAATGAGAGGCGAGCTCCAAACGGCGCCTTAAACACTGTGATAACGCCATGGAGACGCCATGGAGACGCCATGGAGACGCCATGGAGACGCCATGGAGACGCCATGGAGACACCATGGAGACGCCATGGAGACGCCATGGAGACGCCATGGAGACGCCATGGAGACGCCATGGAGACGCCATGGAGACGCCATGGAGACGCCATGGAGACACCATGGAGACGCCATGGAGACGCCATGGAGACGCCATGGAGACGCCATGGAGACACCATGGAGACGCCATGGAGACGCCATGGAGACGCCAAACAAAACCAACATACAGGAAACTTTTAAACAAGAAATACAAGTTTAAGTCAATAATTCCTTCATATATATTTTTAAAAATTTTAATTCCCTTGGCAGATTATTTCACTTATAACATTTGAAAAATATCTTGTTATAAATGAAATGATCTTTTCATCAAGATTAATGACTTATAACTCCTATTTCTTTCTGAAAAGTTATTTGTAGTTGAATTTTATTTCCAGGGAACTAAAATATTCAGATTAGAAATTCGATGAAAATATTTGGTAAAGTTTTGTGTTTTTGCAGTGTATGCTGCTTTTTATTGTCAGTCTAAATTAAGTGTAAAATTTGTTCCCAGAAATATACATTTATAAATAAATAAAATGTGGCATATTTACATCACATATAGACGTATTTCTGGAATAAACCTTTTCGATCATTTGAGGAAATAGTTTTTCTTCTTTACTCTGCAAAACAAACCAGTTGGAGGGGAAACCATCAGAGAGAAGCCAGTGGCGCTGAACGGAGCAGCTTTGGGTTAAATCCGGGCTCACAGGTGGTTCGCTCTCAGCCAGGAGGAAAAACTCTCCCTCCGAGGATCAGACAGCGCTCGGTTTTGTGCTGAAAGGAAATGAGAGACGCTGGCGATTATCAGCACCAAAGGCAAAAGATCCCCTCCATCTTAAACCCTCCAGAAAGATCTGAGGCCCGATTCGCTGCTTTATTCCTCCTGATCTGAAACACAAAAGCTCCTCATGACGGAGCCGGAGAGGCAGAGCCTCTGCCAGACGTGGAGCTTATTGTGTAAAAATCTTAGTCTTTCCTTTAATTACTCAGAGTACAGTAGTGTGAAATCCTGCCTGTTCATTCAGGAAGAACTGATAAAGGTTCCTCTGCACTAAAAGTTCAAATTGAAGCTTTACTCTTTTTTTGCTGGTTACTGACATGCTAGCATTAGCGCCAAACAGCTACAGGAAGCTGATGCAGTTTCTGTTCTGGCAGATAATTATTCTTCTGACATGTTGAGCTCAGGTGGGCGAAGGAAGCGCTGTGTGCTCAGGACCTCACTGACCTTTGACCTGAGGCTTTGATTTTTCAGTTTGGGTCTGAACGGTCCCAAACCTCCTGCACACTCTTAACACTTTCCAAAATACAAATAATGGAGATGATTGCCTCATTCATCTGCTGATTATTCCCACCACTGACATGACAAACATTAGGAACATTTTGTAGATTTTTCATTAATGGACTTAAGATAATTTAATGAAATGTTGGAAATGCAGTAAAAGAGGCTAATAAACATATAATTAAACTCTGTCTAAATGGGAAAATAAAACATTTTGTTCCCTAAAATGCAACAAGATTCACACTGAAAGCTACAAAATAAACTTTTACACCAAAAAACATAACAGTAGTGCCTTTATTAAATGTATCCGTAATAAACACAGAATCGTTCAAAATCATTATTCAGTCACGTTTAACAGCTGCATGACTGAAAAATGTAAGTAAGCCGAAACTTCAAAATGACCGACAGCCTTTCCATAGGAAGCAGACCAAACAGTGGACAGTCTACATCCCTCTGACCAACCAGGAAAAACCAACCAGGAAAAACCAACCAGGAAAAAACCAAACCAGGAAAAAACAACCAGGAAAAAACAACCAGGAAAAACCAACCAGGAAAAACCAACCAGGAAAAACCAACCAGGAAAAACCAACCAGGAAAAACCAACCAGGAAAAACCAACCAGGAAAAACCAAACCAGGAAAAACCAACCAGGAAAAACCAAACCAGGAAAAACCAACCAGGAAAAACCAACCAGGAAAAAACCAACCAGGAAAAAAACCAAACCAGGAAAAACCAAACCAGGAAAAAACAACCAGGAAAAAACAACCAGGAAAAACCAACCAGGAAAAACCAACCAGGAAAAACCAAACCAGGAAAACCAACCAGGAAAAACCAACCAGGAAAAACCAACCAGGAAAAAACCAACCAGGAAAAACCAAACCAGGAAAAACCAACCAGGAAAAAACCAACCAGGAAAAACCAAACCAGGAAAAACCAACCAGGAAAAACCAAACCAGGAAAAACCAACCAGGAAAAACCAACCAGGAAAAACCAACCAGGAAAAACCAAACCAGGAAAAACCAAACCAGGAAAAACCAACCAGGAAAAACCAACCAGGAAAACCAAACCAGGAAAAAACAACCAGGAAAAACCAAACCAGGAAAAAACAACCAGGAAAAACCAAACCAGGAAAAACCACCAGGAAAAACCAAACCAGGAAAAACCAACCAGGAAAAACCAAACCAGGAAAAACCAAACCAGAAAAAACCAAACCAGGAAAAACCAAACCAGGAAAAACCAAACCAGGAAAAACCAAACCAGAAAAAACCAAACCAGGAAAAACCAAACCAGAAAAAACCAAACCAGGAAAAACCAAACCAGGAAAAACCAACCAGGAAAAACCAAACCAGGAAAAACCAAACCAGGAAAAACCAACCAGGAAAAACCAAACCAGGAAAAAACAACCAGGAAAAACCAAACCAGAAAAAAACAACCAGGAAAAACCAACCAGGAAAAAACAACCAGGAAAAACCAACCAGGAAAAACCAAACCAGGAAAAACCAAACCAGGAAAAACCAAACCAGGAAAAAACAACCAGGAAAAACCAAACCAGAAAAAAACAACCAGGAAAAACCAACCAGGAAAAACCAACCAGGAAAAACCAACCAGGAAAAACCAAACCAGGAAAAAACAACCAGGAAAAACCAAACCAGGAAAAACCAAACCAGGAAAAACCAAACCAGGAAAAACCAAACCAGGAAAAACCAAACCAGGAAAAAACAACCAGGAAAAACCAAACCAGAAAAAAACAACCAGGAAAAACCAACCAGGAAAAACCAACCAGGAAAAAACAACCAGGAAAAACCTGCTGAGGCCTCAACCTTCCCTCTGTCTAATATATTAACATAAACGGTGTGAATCTCTGAGTTTCTCTGAGTTTCTCGCGGCGGTTGCAGCAGTCGGGTCTCTCTGGGTCTGAATTCATCGCAATCAAACCTCATTTTTACTGAAACAAGAATCAAACTCAGTTTGAAGATCATTCCAGCTTCTTCCACCAACATTAAACATCATTTATCTGTCATCTCAGCAGTTTATGAGGCTCTTGATCGATCGAACCGCCGCTGTTTCACGGACATGACGTCACACTTCGAACGATGCAGCAAACTAAAACTGTAGAAACTACAGTGCCACCTGCTGGACACTTACGTGTAAAATGTTTATGTTTTATAGAGTTTTGCCTTCATTACCTCTGAGTATGTTCTTTCAGTAAACGACCGTTACTTTAAATACTCCAGTTAAATAATCAATGATTCAATTATTTGATGATTCTGGGAAGAAATTGTAACAATATCCAAAGATTTTACAATTAAAGTCACACTTTGTTGTTTTATATATAAAATGAGCAGAAATATGATTCAGCTGTTAAAGATGGCCGCCTGAAGTCGCTCCGCTCTCGCTCACAAATCTGAGACAGGAAACAGAAAACGGAAACATTCAGCTGATCCAGCTGTTTTCTCCCATTCTGCCCTTCCTCCTCGATTTGTCTCCGTCTCGCTCACAACCCCCAACACACACACACAGAAACACACTCTAACCCCCGACCCCCCACAAGTATCAGGTGTCCTGGCAGAGTGTGTGTGGAGTGGGGGGTTCAAACAGGTGTCTGCTGAGAGTCCCACACGGAGCCTGTTGGAGGCAGGTTTTACCTCACACTCCCAGCTGCTCTGTCTCTCTCACACACACACACACACACACACACACACACACACACACACACACACACACACACACACACACACACACACACACACACACACACACACACACACACACATCAAGCACCATGTATCCATCTGTCACAAGAATTAGATGTAATCCATGGGAATTTTCAGATGTCATGGAAGGAAAGAGAAAGTGTGTTTGCACTTTGAGCGGAGCTGACACCACCTGCAGCACACACACACACACACACACACACACACACACACACACACACACACACCACACACACACACACACACACACCACACCCCACACACACACACACACGTCTGCCTGTGTGTTGTTGGTTTTCTGCAGTGTGAAAAATCAAAGTTCTTCTTTCTTCATTCTGTTTGTTTTGTATAATTTACATTCAAACTGAATTATAAAATCTTCCAAATGAAAAGTAAAAGTTTGCCGTTGTTCTTATTGTGCTTCAGGTTTTAGCGTTAAAACGTAAAAAGCTTCAAACAACAGAAAACAACATCAGCTATCAGAACAATGTTGCCATGGCTGCATGTTCATATTTCAGAAAAGGTTTTGGTTCATGTGATGATTTAGAGAAAACTAAAAGTTTCTCAAATCTTTTTCTGCAGGTTTTTACCCGCAGCACGGGCGCCACCGTGTGGCCAGAGAGAGCCAGCTTTTCAACACGATTCATCAAAAAGTGATGATCGATCACTTTTTGCAGCCGCAGGATCGGTTTGTTCGGCCCGGTTCGGGAAGCTGGACGGGTTTTCGGTCAGGACATTTCTTCATGGACTGCATGTGATTTTAGAAGCAGCTGAAAGTAAAATGGAGAATAAAAAAGGGAATTTTCACAGTGAAAAAGTTCCTCTCTAGTTTATTCAACTATCAATATTCAACATAAATTATAAAATCTCAGCTGATCTAACAACTGCTGCAGTTAATGATGAAAAAATGTAATGAATTTTTTCAAAATAAATGAAATAATAGTTGATTTGTTAGTGTGGCCTTTGACTGAACCTGCTTTCATTCATGAGTCAGTTTGTATTTTTCACATTCACTTATTTTTATCCACATTACAAGAAAAGACTTTGTGTAAAACTCTGAAATGCACGAGCTTTGCAGAAGTTTTTAATACATAAACAAACTGAAAGTAACTCCTAAAATCACAAACACAGGATGGGAACAGAAAGGCCGTTGATCTGTACAGCACCGATAAAAAAAGCTTTAGACAAAAACATTCAGTACTAAAATATTTCCCGTTTTGACATCATTTGCTCTGACATCAGTCTGCTTGGTGGCGATCAGGAGCTTTTCAGGACAAACTGAGAAATCCTTCACAACTCAGATGAAGAAAATAATCGTTTTCATGCCACGAGCTTTTGAGACAAACAGGAAACCTCTGGCTGAAAACAATCTCACTCAAGATCAGCTCAGCTTTTATTGTTGCTTAAAGAGATTTCAGGGGAAATGCAACTCAGGACGTCTTACAGAAACAGCAGGTAGAAGCCAGAAGGTAACAGAGCCTGTAGTTAAATAATCAAAACTATTTTAAAAAATGGTCAACATTTTAAAAAAAAACAGTAAAATGATGTAAACAGCTACGAGAAATTCAGCAGAGAGCCGGTTTGGAGAATCTCCTTCAATACATTCAGAGGGAAAGTTTCTCTGTTGGTCGCTGTTACTGACATGTAGCTTTAAAGCTGCGTAGATATTAGCTAGCAGTGAGGACAGGTTAGGATCCCTCCATGGCCTAAACAAAACCTGTTCATCACATTTTTTACATGAAATCATTCTCAGAAAATCAGATTTCAGTCTGAGCTGTTTAGGCTCTCTGTCGCTTTAAATCCAACCCAGCTGCTGCTGGCCACGCCCCCAACTCAAAATGAAAATGGCTGCAGAGACAAAACTATACAACCATACATCTTTGAAAAGCAATAGTGAAGCCTCCTGCCCACCAGCCAGAAAGCAACAAGTTAACAACTAATCTCTTGACTTTTCCAGCAGCCATTGTACAGCAGGAAAACCAGCTGATCAGCTGGGTTGCTCTGCAATAGGCAGAACTCTGCTGGGGTGACAGCTCTGAACGTGACTCATCAGCAGTTTCAGACATAAAACCCGCCACCGTATGGCCAGAAGTCACTCAGCTGTTCTGCTTTTTAGAAGCATAAAAATATTAAAACGTGAACTCTGCATAATGTTTCACCACTGACGCTGCAATAAACCGTTTTCACGGTGGGACGTTTTCCATGGATCTTCTCCGGTCTCAAACTCGCCAAACTAAAGTCCGGTTCTGGTCCCACCCAAATGGACTCCAGCTCACCGACCACTACAACAGAAAAACTAACTTAGAGCTTTTCCTATATTAAGAGTGTCGGTCACTTCCTGTTGTGTGGTTTTTAATGGCCGCCGCCTGCTGGTGTCGCCTCTGATCCGTTTCATTGCAGTCCAGTTTGGGTTCTGGTACCAGGAAGGTTTGGGCCTTTCACATCTGAAAAGCTTTTTCCGGGTCTGAGGTTCTGAAAGCTGCAGCTCGGATCGAAGCGAGGTTATGTTGAGAGAGCATCAGCAGTCAGCAGCTGCAGGTTCAGACAGAAGCTTCATTTTAAGGTGGATTTAATCCGTCCAACCAGAAAATGCCTGATTTATGACAAAACTCTTCATGTCAGAACTTTACTAACATGTTAAAGTTCATGGACTGTTTAAAATGAAACAAAGAAAGAAATGGGTCAACACTAATCAATCAATCAATCAATCAATCAGTCAACCAACCAACCAACCAACCAATCAATCGTTTATGATGCCACACAGAACTCACTTTCATAAATTTAAGATCTCAAAAATGTTTTTTCCACACATGGAAACTCCATCTAGTTTCTACAAATGTTTTTAGTCGACTTCAGAAACTCCGAAGCAAAGAAATCCAGTTGGATCCTGAATTTCTACTTATTCTGCTCACCAATTTGGACTCCTGAGGGAGAGACTCCCCTGCTGGCCAACCTGAATAAGCAGACAGGCAGATATCAGAACCAACAACCAGAACATTTAACCCAGTTGAGCCCGAACCGCTTCAGCAGAACCTCCAGACTCCGGTAGCCTCGGCCCGGGTCTGTGCCTCCCTGAGCAGCTGAAGGGCCTCCAGGCGCTCCACAGGGAACTGTTCCCTCACCGTTTGGTCTGGAGTTAATGGGTCTATGGAGGTGGAAAACTGCCACCAATCAGCATCTGAGCAGCACGGATCGTTTTGTTTAGAAAATAATTTCACAAAAAAAAACAAAAAGCCAATTTAGAAAAAAAACAATGTTTTGACAAGAAGCATTGTGGAGAACCACAATAATTTTTTTGGCCGTATCAAAATTAGTGCAAAGGAAACATTTTCTGCATTGAATCACATGATCAAAAGCCCGATGTTACTACTGCTGGAAACCACAAAGAAGAAAACAGGAAGTGGTTCAGGATGATGGTACTGCACGTTTTTAGAAACTTCTCAGATGAAAACTTTTCATTTCAATTTTTCTTATGTAAAGGAAACAGCTAAAGTAAAAATGTTTTTTCAACATTGGCAGAATATCAACATAGTTTTGCTCCTGTTTAATAAAAATGCAGATGCTGGATTGTTTGCATTGTTCATGTTGTTGCATAGCTTAATAAAAATTTTTAAAAATCTCAACTTTTGTTGCTGGAATGAGGTGGATTTTTGGGCCATATTTAAATTGGTTTACTTCACAAAACTGCAATCGAAACATTTTTTTTGCCTCATGACCAACAGCAGGATGTTACTACTGCTGGAAACCTTGAAGAGGAAAACAGGAAGTGGCTGGGGAAGACAGTGCTGCATATATTTTAATGACTTATGTGAACAAACTTATTTGGGTGATTTTAATTATGTCTCTCAGTGGAAACAATTGTAAAATAATTTTTTTGACATTAGCAAAATATCGACTAACCTCAGCTGCTGCCAGAACAGCGGTGGTTCACTCGGAGATCAGATATTTCAGGAAATATGGAAACCACTTCATGTTTTACATAAAATAATAATAATAAAAAAAAGAAAAATCCTGGAGCCTCCTCTGTCTGAGACAGGGTCTTCAGTCAGAGGCCTATACAGAGCCGCTGTTCAACAGACTGCTACAGGCACAGCTATCAACATCTACAGCCACTGAGTGATACGAGTCAACACGTTTAATGTCCCTCTGGGATTGATACAGGATGTTTGAACTGAACTGGATTTTCTTGTCAAAAACCATAAAATTAGCAAACATGTTAAAAATACTGAGACTGGGTCTCATGGTTCCCAACAAATTAGCCTCAAAGTGAAGATACTGACTGCTGATGAGCAAACAACAAAACCCCGCCTCAAGAACATCTGAACAGGCGTTTAAAACGCGGCGCTCCTTTCTGTTTCCGTCGCTGCAGCTGAAATCATCGTACTGTCCAAACTTTGAGAGAAAACAGGAAGAAGAACTGCAGCGTGTTGGAGCCGCGACTCTGCTGGGCCGGCAGAATCACAGAAAACAAACAGAAAATGATAGAGGGCACATGGGGGTCACAGTCCAGACTGGTTACAGGAGCTAAAGTTTAATGGGGGGGCTGGGAGTGATGGTTTGTTAAAGGGGGGGCTGTTTGGAGAGTTCGATCCCAGTTCGGCCTCAAGTGTACTGGAACTGGTCCGAAAACGCAGAGAACTCCGGGGTGTACTGGTGGTTCCCGAACTGGCCGTCTCCGCCCTCGTACTGGTTGCTCCCAGAGCCGTACTGGTCGTCAGGGGCAACGTAATGGTCGTCTCCTGGGGGGTACTGGTCGTCTGCGGGCGCGCGCCGGCCATCGCCCCCGGGGTACTGGTTTTCTCCTCCAGTGAGCTGGTTCGACTCCGCAGCTGAAGGCTGGTCGTCTCCAGACTTCTGAACAGCTTTCTTCATTCTTTAAAACAAATGGAAAAACATCATAAATTCAGAACTCATTTCCTTTTCACATGGTAAAATTAAACATTTTGATTATTTGCAGCATCCCACCCATCGCAGTTATTTGAATTGTTCTGAACACCTAGAAAATCTGAGCTTTTTAAAGTTTGGTCAGGTGACGGAGGGATCTGCCGACTGAAAACCCAGCAGGTAGTTTTTGCACTTTCACAGCTTCCAGAGCGGATGTTGGCAAAAGCAGCGCTACGAAGAAAAAGTGCCGCGGTTTCCAAATGATGGCCGATTGAGTTTGGCAGATGTGTGTAGCGATGTTTAAGTAGTTATTATGATGTAAATGTAAAAAAAATAAAATCAAAAATCAGATTTTTGATTGAAGTTATAACTTGTTTTTGTTTATTTCTTGGCGCATCTTGTGGTGGCTTCCATTCAGATCAGAATTGATACCAATTGGCTCTGGCTAATTAAAACTTAATGGATCTCGAGTAATAAAAGTTCCAGATCAAAAACTTGCCAAAAAGATTTGAATGTTTTGGCTGCAGTTTGAGTTTCAACAGAGAAACAAAACAAAAAGGGAACGGCCACACAGGCGCTTCTGCTCAGGGTAAAGCTGATCTGGTTTTTAATCAACTGATTAGTAATTGGATAGTAAAAAGTGATAGTAGGAGATTTTTCAATAAAATGTGAACCAGGTGAAGCTAAAAATGCCAGTAGAGACGTTTTGTGTGGAAATACTAATTTTTTAATCTTACATCTTTACATTTTGTCCAGTTTTGGCTTAATTCCTGCTCTGAGTGGAATTAAGAGCAGGGATATAAATGTACCATTTACATTTTTCAGTAAATATTATTTACTGAAAAATACAATCTTTTCAAAAATGGTATTTTTGTGTCTAACAATTAACTGCTTTCTAAATTAGTTGACAATTATTTGGGCAGTCGATTCACCATGATTAATTTAATAAAATGTTTCAGATCTGTTACTAAAAAAGTTTTGAGATAATATTCTACAGCAGGGAGAACAAAACACAAAGTTTACTAAAAAATCTCCCAATTTTAATAATTTAACATAAAAATACAAACCAAACTCATTTTAATGACACAAATCAAAACGTCATTAGTAAAAATAAATGACATTACAATCCAAACACATCATGCTGAGTTAAATAATGTCCTGCTCAAATGGAATATTTTAACATAAAATACAAAGGTTAAAAATATGTATGTTCATGGTTTTGTTACTGGTTTCCATGGTTTCATTACTGGTTTCCATGGTCTGGTTACTGGCCTGTTGAATCGTGACCTACTGGTTCTTATGCCTGGCGCCGCTGATGTGAGACTGGTACTGTTCCACGGAGTTGAGCACGATGCTGCAGACGGTGCAGGGGTAACCGTTTAGTGTCGACGCTGCAGACAGGAGACAAGTTATTTTCCCAGTGAAAAGCTGAACTTTCAGGGACAAAATGATCAGAAAATATTCAGCTACTGAATATTCATCAGTGGTTTGATCAGTTATCCAAACTTTAGAGCTGCGGTTTTTCATCGGCAGTTTACTGATGTTTAATGTGACATGAAGACAAGGAGAAGGAAGTGGAAGAGAAGATTTTCACAATTCCAGCTGGTCCATTTTAACCATATTTAGTCAGCCATTTTGGCTAGTCAAAGGTTTGGTTGATGAGTTGCGAATGCTAATCGACCTCTGACCTCTGGTCCTCCCAGCCTGGGTCTGGTTCGGTTTGAATGTGAACCCCAAGCGGACCAGAGAGCGCTCCAAAACCAGGAAGTTTACTACAGCGCAGGGCATTCTGGGTAAATCCAACCTAAGCTAACATGTTAGCCTAGCGCTAGCAGCAGAAATGGCTCCTGGTCTTCAGCCAAAGACTAAAGAGAAATCACTAAACTCTGACGCCTCCATCTTGGTTCATCTGGTGAAACAGGAAGTTGCTCTCAGTGTCTTCAGAGGTTTTAGTGTCGTTTCCTGCAGTGGTTGTTGGTGCAGCGCCCCCACAGGCCAGGAGGGGAACAGGCTGGTTTGGGTCAGAACCACAGCAGCTGGAGGTGGAGCAGAAGGTCTGGTTCCAGTAGAACCGGATCGACCCGACTGAAGGAGGAAATTTATCTTTATACTTGAATCCTTCTTTACTGCCTAAATGCATCAGAGACGGCTGGTTGAGTTAAACAGAGCTCTGCAGCTAGAACAAACCTTTACTCTTTTTAATTACATAAATATGTAAATGAGGCAGAGGACTTGCAGTGTGCCACTAATATTAATACAGTGAGTCTGCAGAGGACGAATGAGGGGAACCAGAACCAGAACCCGGGCGGTGGCCTGACCTGGTGCGGTGGAGGGGCCGTATGTCTCCATCAGCTTTAACCTGGTCATGTGTTTTTTATGCTTCTTGCCGGCGTAGTGCTGCTGGGCCATGAGTGGGTTGTTGAACGACGCCTTGCAAGTGGAGCAGAAGCGATCTGGGTTGTTGTTGTTGTCGGTTTCAGAACCGCCGGCTGAAATGTCGGCAGGTTTCTCCACCGGCTGTGAAGTCTGAGAGGCTTCTGCAGAGATTAACATACAGAGAAAAAAAAGGTGTGTAAAAAACACAAGAAATTTAAAAGAATAACAGGAGATGTGCTTTATGATCTGATGGAAGCAGCAACCTGGAGTCTGGGATTCAACAGCTTTCATTTTCAGCCTCTTGGCATGAAATTTGCCCTGATAGTGAGACTCAGCCATAACTGGAGATGTGAAGGTCATGTTGCAGAGGTGGCACGCCTTCAGCCGGTCCGTGTCGCCGTTGTTGCAGTCCTGCAAAGACACACAAACAGCTGATCAAACATTTAACAACAAGGAAATGTCTGAATTTAAAGACCCAGCAAACAGACAAAAATGTTTAATTTACGATGAAACTAATCAACCAGTTAGTCATTCTGCAGATTCTTCATGAACCCTGACACGTGACGTCTCCGCCTTCAGACGCAGTCTGTGGCGCGGTGGCTGAAGGATATCGACACCTTGAGGGGCCATAAACACAACCGACAAAACCGACTGTCTCACAGATATTATGAATCTAAGTTACTAAAAATTATTTAGCAATGGTTGGAACTCGCTGCTTTATTGGATGTCATGTCAGATCACATGACCAAAACAGTAAAAAGAAGGAAAACGGACTTTCGTTTCACTGTTTTCCTGCCTGTAAACAAGGCAAGGAGGCTAAGCTGTCGGAGCTAAGCTAATGGAGCTAAGCTAACGCAGATAAGCTATCGGAGATAAGCTAACGGAGCTAAGCTAACGGAGATAAGCTAATGGAGCTAAGCTACCAGAGCTAAGCTAATGGAGCTAAGCTAACGGACTTAGGAAAACGGACTTTCGTTTCACTGTTTTCCTGCCTGTAAACAAGGCAAGGAGGCTAAGCTGTCGGAGCTAAGCTAATGGAGCTAAGCTACCGGAGCTAAGCTAATGGAGCTAAGCTAACGGACTTAGGAAAACGGACTTTCGTTTCACTGTTTTCCTGCCTGTAAACAAGGCAAGGAGGCTAAGCTGTCGGAGCTAAGCTAATGGAGCTAAGCTAACGCAGATAAGCTATCGGAGATAAGCTAACGGAGCTAAGCTAACGAGATAAGCTAATGGAGCTAAGCTACCAGAGCTAAGCTAACGGAGCTAAGCTATCAGAGCTAAGCTAATGGAGCTAAGCTACCGGAGCTAAGCTAATGGAGCTAAGCTAACGGAGATAAGCTAATGGAGCTAAGCTACCGGAGCTAATGAAAAGGAGACGAATGTCCTGGCATCAGTGGTGAGACGTCCTGATATCACGTTCTCCAACATCCCAAGTTATCTACTAGTTTGATCCAGACATGTTCATTCTAGCGAGTGTCTAAATTCTTTGTTGGTGTCAGGTCATAATGTTTTGCTATGAATTTGTCCGGGTCACTCATGTTCAGTTATGTTGAGTTCATTTAAGTGGCTCAACCTTGTTTAGCTTGGGCTTATATTTCAGTCTGAGTTTTGTCAGTGGACATCGAGGTTATTATTATTAATAAACTATTTTACTAGTGTTATCAAATATACAGTATTAATTCTGATGTATGTTCTGATATGTCCTCTTCAAGGCAAACTGACGTATAAAATGGATGAGCTCAATCCAGACTGGGTTTCAGCGCTGAATCTGGGTCACTGCGAGGGAAACGCCACAACATCAGACTGACATGCGTCAATTAAAGAGGCGATACAGCAAAACCATGATGGAGCAACAAGTTACAGAGACTGTTGTCATTATTTACGCCAGAAGAGGTAAATAATGAGAACATTAGCAGAGGCTGCAGAAGAGGAGGGAGTTGGAGAGGCTGAGGAGGAAACCGCAGCAGGAGCTCAGCAAGGCTGCTCACTCTGAGGAGGAACAGGAACCAGCGGCAAAAAGGCAAAAATTAGAAAGTCACTTGTGTGAACAGAGAAGAGATTAATCAGTTACAGGAGAGCAGGGAGCTCAGCTCAGAGCTGAATTAAAACCAGCTGGTCACAAGTTTTCTTAAGGATGACATCTTGTTATCACTGTTTAATACTGTTGGGCCTTTTCTGCTGGCATCACTAATTACTTTGTCTAAGACTCGATCTTCCTGTTCAGCATCTTTGCCATCTTTTTAATGTGTCACATAAAACTGTCTAATGCCTTTGGACACCCTTGATGTGTCGTATGCACATCTTAAGCTCATGGTGAGCTGGCCTCAGAGGCCACAATGCCTCAGTTTGTGGAAACATTTGGAAAACATGTAGCTATTATTATTGACTGTTTTAAATTAGGAACAGAAATACCTTCAAATTTAAAAGCATGAGCACAATCCTGATCCTGCTTCCTTATTGGTATAAAACCACATGGGTGGATTTCTTTTATTTCTAAGGGATGAGGCGGGCGTGCATCAGACAAGCACATAACAGAAAACTGTGGCCTTATCTCTGGGATATTACGTTGTGTTAGCAGACAGAGCATGGCAGTTTAGGAACGATGTGTGCTGAGGTCATGGGAGAGGTCAACTTGATGCTAAAGACACACGAGGTGCAGCTCACCTGAGAATTCATGTGAAAGAGTGATGGTTGCATGAGGAACAAACACGAAATGTTACACAGAACCAAGCAGGTTGCTGCTTACATGTGTGCTGCAGCTTAGCGAACATGTGTTCTAGTGTAAAACATAATGCAAATGAAAACTGCACATGTTCATATGAAACTGCACGTTGATAAAACTGTTAATTAAAATGCAGACTGGAAAATGTCTGGTTATTTCTGCACTCATTATTTTTGAAATATTTGTACAGTTAGCACTGTTTCATGTAAAATGTAGATAGTAAAAAAAAATGGTATTTGTTCCCCTCATTATTTAGTCAACAGTTGGAAGTGTCTGTTTTTTCTCATTTCATAATTTAATGTGGTAAACATGAAACGTTTGATTCAAGCACTACAGAGCGAACCGGTCAACAGAGGATGCTGTCTCCATCACTCTGCACACAGCCCTGACCCATCTGCAGCATCCCAACACCTACGTCAGGATGCTATTTGTAGACTTCAGCTCAGCATTTAACACCGTCATCCCAGACAAGCTGGTCCTGAAGCAGGTGGAGCTGCCTGCTTCACTGTGCCACTGGATCAGACTTCCTCACCAACAGGCCTCAGATGGTGAGAATAGGTGGCTCAACATCGTCCCCACTGGTCCTCAACACAGGCACGCCGCAGGGCTGTGTGCTCAGCCCAGCTCTCTTCACCCTGTTACACACGACTGCGTTGCCATCCACCCCACCAACACAGTCGTCAAGTTTGCGGACGACACAACAGTAGTGGGTCTCATTTCAGACAACAACGAGACCCACTACAGAGAGGAGATTCTGCAGCTCACTCAGTGGTGTTCAGCCAATAACTTGGTGCTGAACACAGGGAAGACCAAGGAGGTCATTGTGGACTACAGAAGGTCCAGGAGGACGGGTCACACTCCCCTTCTCATAGATGGAGAAGAGGTGGAGCGTGTGGACAGCATCAAGTTCCTGGGCCTCCACATCACGTCTGACCTCTCCTGGAATACAAACACCTCCCACCTGGTGAAGAAAGCACAACAAAGGCTCTTCCTCAGGAAACTGAGACGTGCTGGACTTTCCTCACGGCTGCTCCTGAACTTTTACAGGGCGACGATCGAGAGCGTCCTCTGCCTCAACGTGACTGTGTGGTATGGTGGCTGCACAGCACTGGAGAGGAAACAACTGACACGGGTGGTGAGAACAGCACAAGGCATTGTGGGATGCCCCCTCCCGGACCTGGACTCTATTTACATGGGCCGGGTCAAGAAGAGAGCTGGATCCATAGCCATGGATTCCAGCCACCCGGGCCACAGACTGTTTGTGCCGCTGCCATCAGGCCAGCGGTTCAGGAATATACGGACTACAACAAACAGACTGAGAAACAGTTTCTTCCCCACAGCCGTCAGAGCCATTACTCCCTGCCGCCCCCTCCCACACATATCATAACCTCACATACACCCCCCCCCACACCCCAACCCCCACACAGCCATATTGTTCTGCACTTTGACCTTTGTCACATCATCTGCACTTTACCATAATTGGACCTGCTGCTTCTTCTTTGGTGTGGTTGAGTGCCTTAGTTAATTTTATATATATGTATATATTATTTATGTATATATTATTATTATTATTGTGTGTTTGTTTATTTAATATTGTATATATTTGACTCTTTGCACGGGAGTTGCAATAGAAATTTTGTTGAATCCTGTTCAATGACAATAAATGCTATTCTCTCTCTCTCTTTTCTATTCTCTTCGAGTTGCATGTAAACAGGTGATGAATGAATCACATCTAAACTAAAAAAGAAATATTTGAAATATTTCCGGTAATAAACATACATGTAATGCAGTGCTTCTCAAATAGTGCGATACCTGGGGGGGCGTGTGATCCTGGGGAACAGGCTTTTTTTTGGCCGTACTAGTATAAAGTGTAATTGCGCACAGTAGGCGGCAGTGGCGCTCTCATTGTTACTTCTGTCACGTTTGCGACAGTGCAACATTTTACGACTTACAAGACAAACAGGTTTGCCTTGGTTAGCAGTGTTAAGTCAACAAAAAGCTCCGACTGCGTTCTGTCTATGGCCTCCGTTATTCAACAACCCCCAACATGAAAAAGTTTTTCACAGGGATGAAAAGAAAAGCGGAGAGAGACAAAGATAATGAGACAACAGAAAGTCAACCGAAAGCTAAGAAGAGGAAATACGAGGAAGCGTATTTAGCGCTTGGCTTCACTGTGACTACAGTTGGAGAAGAGGAAAAGACCGGTGTGTTGCTGTGTCTAAAAATGCTCGCAGCGGACAGCATGAAGCCAAATAAATTAGCGCGTCACTTAAATACGTTACATCCCAATCACGCAGATAAGCTGCTAGAGTTTTTTCAGCGAAAACGTGCTGAATTGCCAACAGTCATCCCGCTTTGTGAAGGCTACTTCAGTAAACCATCGAGCGCTGCTAGCATCATATAAGGTGGCGTACCAAATTGCGCAGTGCAAAAAGCCCACACCATAGCAGAGGAGCTGATACTGCCTGCAGCAGTAGACATGGATTTATTTATTTTTAATTTCAGGCATTGATGCACTTAAAATCTTTTCTGTTGCAGACTTAAAACACAATTTAATAAAGTTATTCTTTGTAAGTTTGACCATATGTCTTTCTTTTTTTCTTAATGTTAATAAGGAAAAAATGTTATGCAGAGATGGATAGTCACAGTGGGGAGTGGGGGGGCGCGAATAGTTTTTGTTCTTGCTAGGGGGGCGTAACGGAAAATAATTGAGAAGCACTGATGTAATGAAAGATTCTATTTTTAAGTAAACATTTTGTGATTAAACAATTACATAATCAGAGATTTTGCAGTAAATATTTAATGTAAACAATCAAAGCAGATGAAAGAGTCCATCTTTAAACATTTAATATGTTAACATTTCAGAGTAAATGTCATGAAATAGATCCGACTACAAGTATTTGTTATATTTAACATATTTCAGGCGATAAATACACATGTAATAAAATAGATCCTGTCTGAATTTTATGTAACTAACAACATTTGACGATCATCTGAGGTAATACATTTTATGAAAATTTCAAAATATTTTTTAAATATACATTTGGTTAAAAATTAAAAACAGGTAAAAATGAAATGAGGATGAGGGTGTCTTCTATACAGTTTAGTAGAAAAATTTCACACTGCTTTTAAGTCAATGGGTCACATGACCTAGAAGCTACTGAAGAAAACATGATATTATTTGATATTAAAATTATTTAAAATATTGAATATGACTTAACATTTTAATAAAGGACAGTGTGTCTCATGTAAAAGCATAAACTACCACGTTGTTGTGTCAGCTGGTCACAAGGCAAGGCGTTTATTTACAGGAGTGTTTGGTTGGGAACCTCTGAGCGCTCAGAGACGGCCGGCCCCCAATCAGCCATCAGAAATCGGATTGAGCTAAACGCTGCTTGCTCCGCAGAGCGCCAACATCCAACATCCGATTGAAAAACAACTTCACTGCGTCGGTAACACAACAAAACACCAGAACAAAGTTTGTTTTTGTCGGTGGCCTGTAAAGATGGTGCCGAGCAACTGCGCAGTTCCAAAGCTCTACGTTAAAAAAACATTAAAATATAAAAATAAACTAATAACTGAATCCTTTTTAAGTGAGAAAATAAACATTTTACTGTTTAAAGGTCAATATCCTTTCATTCCTTTAGTGACATGAGAAAAGCTGAACATCAATACAGACTGGAGCTGATCTATGGATTAATTATTGATTAACTGATTAATAATCGGATGCAAAATGTGCTTTACATAATTTGATGATCAAGGAATTTTGGGTGGAACAAATTTACAGAAAATGTTTATCTTAAATGCAAAATGTTTATTTTTTAAAAGTTTCAGCTTATTTACTGGTCTGAATGTTCTTTCAGCAAATTGTTCTTTTGTTAACAATTGATTACTAAATCAGTTGGTGATTATTTCAATAACCGATTAATCGATTCAGCCCCGTTTCTCTGACGTGAAACTGAGGTTTTTCAGTTTGCTCCACATCCTGTTGGCGTCACTTTTTTTAATCTAATTGACGTTTTTCACTCACGTTGTTGGAGGTTTTGGGCTTCTTGACCGGATCGCCGTTCTCATTTTCCAGGGAAAGGAAACGCCGAACCTTGTTGGCATGTTTCTTACTCTGGAAGCAGAAAAACAGTTCTTGACTGGAAATGAAGAATAATCCAGTTCTGGGTAATTTATCAAGTTACTGAACATATTAAGAGTCCAGCAATGTTTCACGTCTTTACAGGATGTTGATGAGTTTAAAGCTTCAGCAGCGACTCTGCTGCACTGACCTGATAATGAGTCAACTTCTGAGACTGAGAAATCAGGACGGCGCTGCAGACTTTACACTGGGTGTCAGAAAACAGGTCGCCTCGCTCCCGGATCATTTTATCTACTGCAGGGAGAGAGCGACAGAAGCACAGAGGAATCAGGATAAATCATCTGGAAATAAAATATCACTTCGAATAAAATACCCTGCTGCTGTTTTTACACTTATCAAAAAATCAACTCTTTGATTTTCACAAACCTCCCAAACGCCTCTGATGACCCATGAGCAGAAACCTGCAAATAACGCTGCCCAAAAATAAAATGTTTTCAGGCTGATCTGAGTGACAATTTAACTTGGTGTCAGATTACAAAAATATACAAAAAATATAAAAATAATCTGGAGATTCAAACAAGACTCAGTGGTTCCACGAGGGTGTCCAACATGTGGCGCAGGGGCCAACTGTGGGTCAAGGAGTTACTTAGGCCACAAGCCAGTTGATCAAGGTAAACATTTTATTTAAAAGAGGGCAATTTTCATAAACAGACAAATTAAAGTCTACTTAAAATGGAAAATGTAAAGTGCAACACATTGTATTCCAATTTTATGTTTTGGCTTTAATTTTATAGTAAATAAAAACGAAAGCATCCGAGATTTTTACTCAAAAAGCAGACTCATGTTCATTTATTGGTATTGTATTTTATTTTTGTTGAAATAACAAAAACCCAAAACGTTGATGACATTGTTTTTTCTTTCACGTTTCAGGTTTCCAGATCTCTCTGCTGCAGACAATAATATCGCCTGTTTTCCTGTTTCTGGTTAAATCGTGACAAGCAGGTTAAATGTTTAATGCAAGTTTGGATCGTTTGTTTTTCTCTGATTTCTTTTGTAAAAGGAAAAGATGGATTGTTAAGTTGAAGTTCTGAGGTTGGAAAAATGCCAAAAATGTGAAGCACTGCACCTTTTTTATTGATAAGTGTAATATCAATACAAATAATTGTAAAAAATGTATTGATGTTTGCTTGGACACATTTACTCAATAACTTCATTATTCACACCAAAATAACCAAAAGCTACTAATTTCTGATGGATTATATTTAATTAATTCAGATAATTTAGTGAAACACGTTTCTAAAGAACAAACTTATTTCCAGTTCCTAACTCCAGTTCACTGATTCGTCTCTGGTATTCAAAAACATTATAGTTTTTGAATACCAGTGGCTTTCATTAGCAATGATGAAACAAAACTGCAATGTAATTTCCAGGTGTCTGGCTGCATTGTTCATACGGTGATCATGTTTAACTGCAAGACCTGGAAATAATCTGCAGCTTAATCCCACAATTTAACTTTTTAAAAAATTTTTATAGTTAATGTAAGTAAAATATCTTTATGTTTCAAGGCAGGCACAGTTACTGTGTAAAAGTTTTTAATGGTGAAAATATAAATTATACATTTACAAACTGCTGGATAAAAATGGATCAAGAGTAAAATGGTATGACAGAAAGGATACACAAGTACTAACTGATAAGGAAATCTTATTTAGTACAAAGTTATGTGCCAATTTTGTTTTTTAAGAGTAAAATAAAAACTAAATCACATATAAACAATTACAAAATAAATTGAGGCTCTAGAAACTTTTAGAAATCAGTTTTTCAATAGAAAGCTTAACACAGTAGACAAAGTTTAAGATGAATTTGCAGCTTTTATCATATTTTGATCTCCAAATGGTTCAGCAAACATATTACTAAAACAAAGCTGGTGTATGAACAAAAGGTCTCACTTTGACAGAAACCTGGACAATTTTTAATTCAAATATATTCAGTGAAGTTACTTCAGCTGAGTAGAGACTCCATTAGTTTTATTCAAATATAAGTCGGGCTATTTCATGACAACTTTACTCAACTAACAGCAAAAAGGACGTTGGAGTAAATCTGATCATAAAAATACATTTTACGTTACGCAAGTAAATGTTGCTAGTTTCTACAAATTTGAAAATGTTGCTAATATGTCCATTTTCAGTCATTACAATACATTTACTAATACACGATTTAGATGAAATGTGCAGCTGCTATTTGTGACGGTGAATAACGTGCTGCAAGCGGGTTAAATTTAGAGCGTCCTGTCAGGCTGCGTCCTGCTAGCTGCGCGCGCCTCCATCGCGATGTTAACTGTCAGTCTCGTGAGCGGCTTTCCCATCACTACGCACAACAAACTGCTAAAAACACCTCCTCCGACTCATTAAAACTGCTTCTCTAGGGGAACACAATGTGGCAATCCTCCCATAGTGTCGTCCTAAACGTATTTTTCGAGAAAAGTCCGAATTAACATCGGATGCAGACCTGCTCTCGTCGACCTTGGAGCAGAAACGTTACAGCTACTTAGCTTAGCACGTTTTAGCATTAGCCTCGAGGAAGCCGCGAAAAAACCCACAAAGTGTTTCAACCGCTAACCCTGCGGTCGACTGCTCGATGCGTTGAGGCGGTTCTCTACAAGCGTATGCATGCGTTTGGAGGATCCAGGTGTCATACCCTCCGCCAGTCCCGAAGGTAAGACAGGAAAACTCTCGGTCTGCATCGCCTCCGCCATGATTTTTCTACACACAGCATCGGCTTCCAACAGCGCATGCGCGGCAAATACACAGACTGGAGTCATTTAGAAAACTGGGCTTCAAAACAATTACATAAAAGGTTCCTTTATAACACATCGAGTAAATATGTTATAAAAGTGCAAGTAAGACGTTACATTACACTCCCCGAAACATATGGAGGTTCTACAATGTTTTTGCGACTGTAGCTTTAAGAATTGACGTAGTCATGGAAACCATCTTTGATTAAAAACACATTGAAAATGCTATCTTACGGCCCCGACATGGCTGGCTCAACATTCGGTAATCAATAAGTTCGTAAAGTGGACCCAGGGGGTCTGAGCCGGGCAGAGGAGATGATGCAGAAGTTTCTAGAGCAGGCGACCTTTAAACGGTGCAGACCCTAAACCAGCCACTAGATGGAGACATGTCATTCAATTTTTAGCTCTGCGTGTTTACAGTGGCGCCATGACGCAAAGCATTCCAGTAGGTCCAGTTCTGCGTGACTCCAAAAGGACACGATGAACGACTTGGAGTGGCTTAGTCAAAGTCTGACAATAAATCCAAACAAAGGGCCAGTCTTCCTTCACAGTGTGTAAAAGACTGATTGTCAGCTGTTGCAAACAGTTAATGTTGTTGTTGCAAACTTCACAGAGGACATACTCAATAATTTGAACTATGGATATAAAACAACATTTTCCACAGAGAAAAATATAATTTTGCAGTCAGTGGTTAGGAAATGTAACACTGCTTGAATCCACTTATTAACACATTATAAATCATCTCATTCTGTGTGAAATTTGTTGTATTAGTTTGTTATACAGTTCATAAACCTTTCGGATCTGAATGATTTAGTTGACAAACTAAATAGTAGTGACTGACGTGTGTCTTGAAAAGGAATATGTCAATTGTGTATAAACGACTAATGTAACATCCAGATGAAAGAAACATTTCTGCCGCAGCTGTAACTTTCTCTCCTGGCCTGAGGAATAAAATGCTCAGCGATGGCGCAGAGCAAACAGAAATGTTCTGTTTACAGAACGCTGCATGTCTGATCTTTGGTTTGAAACATAAAAGCAGCTGTTAGAAAATTAATGACTAACAGATTTAAACCTTCTGGCTCCTTTTGTCTTCAGAAGATCAAGAAATTCGGCTCAGATTTCTCATTATTCACATTTGTTGTGTTGTTACGTAGATTAGTCCAAAACCCTGAACTTTCTGCTGGTGCTCCTAATATAAATGGTGTGGAACATTTTATGTGCTAATGGCTTTTTAAAGCTCTTTTCTTTTAAATTTGACCTCCTTCAAAGCCTTTTATTGCTCTGAAGCACCAAATAATAACATTAATAAGTATAAAAATGTTGTGTTCTAGTGTATTTCATTTAGTTTTACATTTGAAAATAAAAACACAGATTAAAATGGCATTTATACATCTGTTCCTCAGACTATTATCTGATTTCTTTTGAAGGTGCAGTTTGTTTGGTTTAGTGTTTTTTTTTTTATAGAAAGTAATTTTATGAATGTTCAAAATGTTTGTCAATAAATGCCAGAGAACGATACTTTACTGTAGTGCTGTTAATTTCTTTATTTTCTTAGCTTGGGTTTCAATCTCAGTGGTAGAAAATGACTAGAAACAATAGAAAAAGTAAATTAGGGGAATAACGTGGCAAAAAGAGGAACTGTAATCTTTGGTATTTAAGACCTCAGCAGGTCTGCTGAGTTTTTGCAGCACTGAATCCAGATGTTGGTTATTGTTCATATTATACGGGTTTATTTTGTGTTGGATTGAATGAAGGGAACTTCATGTACGTGGTTCCACTCTGCAAGACCAGCAGGGCCTCTCCGTTCTTCGTGTCGTCTGTCAGCAGCTCCAAGGCGGCGGCGGTGACGTCAGAAACCCTGAAACCGTCAGAGCAATGTCAACAAAAGGAGTAAAAAGCAGTGTAACGGATTGTAAAATGAAATGTCTAAATTATTTGTAGTTTATTTAAATTAAACTATTTAAATGAATTTCTAATTTAAGACTGTTGCAGATTGTTTATGTATGTTTGTCTGTTTTGGTTTGCATTGTTGGTGATTTATTTGGTTTAATGGTATTTTGTAATGTTTTGGGATTTTTTTTGTTTAATACGTACCTCACGGGCTGCCGTAGAGAAAGAGGGCAGGGCCTATAAAACTGGGGAATTGCAGTGAACCAAATGAACTGTCAAACGTTGGACTAAGAAATGGCGTTCCCCAGTTTGTTGTTGTATTGTTGATTTGTGTTGTATTTTAATATTTGTATTTGTTTAGTTTTCACGGTGATGGTGATGATGATGGTGATGATGATGGAGGTTTTGAAGTCAAGTGACCTGACGATGATCCAGCAAAATCATCAAAGGAGAAATAAAGCCAATATCACCTGTCGAGACCGACTGTTTTTAAATTCAAGTACTGGGGATCAGCTACAGTGAAAACTCGAGGTCTCCGTGTGTCGCCTTCCACTGACGGTGAGACGTTTGGTACGGACATCGCCGAAGTTTGTCGCTCCTCGGAATCAACGCTACAATGAGGAACTGTCTTCGCGCTGGATCCAAGTTTGTATCAAAACTGAATCTGACAGATGACCACTGGAGCGGTGAGACATTGACTGATCAATCAACGCGGAAATAACGGCACCTGCTCGATATTTATGAACTGAGTTTAGACCGCTATTGGGTCAAATGAAATTCTGAATTATTTATAAGGTAGTAGCATATGTAAGAAAAAAAATTATTAAAAAAAAAAAAAAAAAAAAAAAGAAAACAATGGTGTTTTGTAATTAAATGTTAAGTTTGAATGTGGGTTTAATTTCACTGTAAGGTCTTAGAGTTAAGATGTCACTGCCAAATGAAATGGATCTTTCTGCTGAAGATGTGAAAACTGAAGAAAAGCCAAAGGGACAAGAGTTGGTTTCAGGTCCTCGCACAAGAAAGTTGACTGAAAAGGGAGAGCAGTACAGAGAAGAAGAGTCTGCAAAACAGATAAAGGCATTTCTTAAGTCTTATGCATCCTGGAAACAAACTGCAAGAGAAGCAAGGAAGAAGCTAAAGGGTTTCTGCTCTGAGGAGAATCTGGATGAAATAAATAAGCAAGTCCAGAACAGTCTTGATAAAGTGAAACAGAATTATGAGTTTCTTCAACGTAATTTTTTAAATACTCCAGATATTGTGCAGAAACTAGATGCCTGTACTATATTAACAAATGAGATTTATGATCTTGTGTGTAAGCGTTTAGAAAGGGGTATTGTTGAGGAAAACTTTAATCAAGAAGTTGAAAAGGAAAGAGTGAGAGAAGTCTTAAATAGAGATGAATATCAATCTGTTTTTGGAGAAGCGTCTATTGAAAGTTCTCCCTGCAGTTCATCAATTACTAGCTCCAAGGTTTCTCAGGGGCGTGTAATGGCAGAAGCTGATCTTGCAGCCAAAAGGGTTCAAGTTAGATCAATGTTGGAGATTGAAGCTCAGCATGCTAAAGTCAGTAAACTTGAATGTGACTGGAAATGTCATGAGTCCCAGATTATGGCAGAAATGAAGCAGAAGGAAGCTGAAGTGCTACAGCAGCTTGATGAAGAGAAGAGCAAGTTAAAGGTAATGCAAACAGACATGGAAGTTAAGATGGCTGCAGCTCGGGTTGCTGTTTACAGCAGACTTGAAGATGGTGTTGAAAAGGGAAATCTTGATTTTAAGTCTGAGGTTAAATCAGAGCAAACACTGAAACACCCAAGTCATAAAGCTGCAAAGGTTGCATCAATTCTACCACCTCATGTTTGTGCTGAGATTCCTGCAGTGAACTTGGCTGAAGCCTTAACGAGCTCATTGACTTTAAGTCGCCTTCCTGTTCCTGAACCTGCTATATTCTCTGGTGACCCTTTGAAATTTGTGGACTTTAAAATATCATTCACAACTTTAATTGATTCAAAATCCATCTCTGCTGGGGAAAAAATGTTGTATTTGAAAAGTTATCTTTCAGGAGAAGCCCGAAAGGCTGTAGAAGGTTTCTTTTACAGAAGCTCTGAGGACGCATATGAAGGTGCTTGGTCAGTTTTACAAGATAGGTATGGAAACCCATTTGTCATCCAGAAAGCATTTAGGGATAAACTTATGTCATGGCCAAAGATTGCACCAAACGATCCATTGTCTCTCAGAGATTTTGCTGACTTTTTGAAAGGTTGTGAAGAGGCTATGCCTCAAGTAAAGGGACTGTCCATCTTAAATGACTGTGAAGAAAATCATAAGATGTTGAAGAAGTTACCAGACTGGGTTGTACGTAAATGGAGTAGAGTTGTTGTTGAAGTACTTGATGCATGTGGAGAATATCCATCCTTTGAATGTTTTTCTAGATTTATACAAAAGGAAGCACGTATAGTATGTAACCCTGTTGCTTCTCCATTTTTGTTAAAGTCTAGAACTTTTTCAAATGACCTTTCCAGGAAAGCAAAGGTTCTTAACACCAGTACGGAGTTTAAGAAACAAGAAAGTGTTCATGGTTTAAAATCTAAACTGCCTTGCTTGGTTTGTGCAGACATGTCACACAGTGTTGCTAAATGTCCTAAATTTGCAGTTAAATCAATGGAAGACAAAAGATCATTTATATATCAGAACCATCTTTGTTTTGGATGCTTAAGGAAAGGTCATTTATTGAAAGATTGTAAAACGCGGCATGTTTGTGGGGAGTGTAGACGGCATCATCCTACTTGTTTGCACAAGGAGAGAGTCAGATCTCATGATGTTGCTCAGCAGTGTTCCATAACTCCAGAAGAAACACCTCAGGTTTCTCATAGTGTATTATCTCATGCACTCATCCGAAACATTTCTGCTACATCAAGTATTGTTCCAGTTTTCCTGTCCTCTGTGAAGGATCCTGGGAAGGAAATACTTACATATGCACTCCTTGATACTCAGAGTGACTCCTCCTTTGTTTTAGAAGATCTTGTGAGAAACTTGACTGTTGAAACCAAACCAGTGCAGTTAAAACTTAGTACCATGGTTTCTGTTGATACACCCATTTCAAGTCAAAATGTGTATGGCTTGCAGGTTCGGAGTTTTTTCTCTGATACTTGTATACAGTTGCGGCAAGCATATACACGTGACTTTATTCCTGTTGATACATCTTGCATACCAAGTAGAAGTACAGCATTACAGTGGCCTCATCTTAAACATCTAGCTGGCAAAATGCCTGCTTTGCAAAATTGTGAAGTAGGTTTACTTATTGGTTTTGACTGTCCTTCTGCTTTGGCTCCCTTGGAAGTTGTTGTTGGTGGGGAAAATGAACCTTTTGCTCAGAAGACTGCTCTTGGTTGGAGTATTATTGGGGCAATTAATCCACATTTAGATCGGCAAGGAAACCAAAGATATGTACACAGAGTGATGGTGAAAGAAATGCCCACTCCATTAACTTCTGATGTTTTAAGAGCTTTGGAGTTGGATTTTAATGAAAGGGGTTCAGAAGGAAAATGTGTTTCCCAAGATGACATTCGGTTCATACGACTTCTGAGCGAAAACATTATACAAAAAGATGATGGCCATTTGGAGATGCCCCTTCCATTTAAAACATCCTGCCTTCCTATGTTGCCAAACAATAAGACGCTGGCTACCGTTCGTTTACAACATCTGAGGAGAAGGTTAAAGAGAAATGATCAGTTCTACAATCATTATAAAACATTTATGGAGTCTATCATTAACTGTGGAGATGCTGAACTAGTTTCTGAGGAAAATGCCAATGATGGTTGTGAGTGGTATTTGCCTCATCATGGGGTGTATCATTCAAAGAAACCAGATAAGTTAAGGGTAGCGTTTGACTGCTCAGCTAAATTTCGTGGCATCTCTTTGAATGATACTTTGTTGACTGGTCCAGATTTGATCAACTCTTTAACTGGAATCCTCTTGCGTTTCAGAAAAGAAGCTGTGGCTATTACTTGTGACATTGAAAGGATGTTCCACCAGTTTTATGTTGCGTCTAACCATCGCTGTTACCTGAGGTTTTTATGGTGGGAGCAAGGAGATTTGGAAAGTGAGCCTAAAGAATATCAAATGAAGGTCCACCTTTTTGGTGCTGCCTCCTCTCCAGGCTGTGCTAATTTTGGTCTGAAATATTTGGCACAACTGCAGAGATTAAAGTTTCCATCTGCAGCAGCATTTGTGGAGAATAATTTTTATGTTGATGATGGTCTAATAAGTGTTCCTACAGCTAATGACACTCCAGATTTTTTGGAACGTTTCACTAAGTTTTCATCTTGGTCAAAATTGATTAAAGTTGTTGCCAGAATCAAAAGACTTGGATGCCACAACAAATGCTATTCAAACGTGGTGAGTGTTAAAGAACGGGAAGATGCTGTTAAATCAGTGGTGAAACTTGTACAAGAACAGGCTTTTGGCTCAGAGATGAGGTTGTTAAAAAGGGGAGACATCCTTCCACGTTCTAGCTCTTTGTTCAATTTGAATACTATTGTAAAAGATGGACTGCTGCGAGTTGGTGGACGATTAAAACATTCACCTCTTAGTGAAGATTTTAGATATCCACTGATTTTGCCAAAACACAGCCATGTTACTCATCTTATTTTGTCTTACTGTCACAATCAAGTAAGTCATCAAGGCAGAGGTCAAACTCAAATGCAGGTCCGGCTTAATGGGTTTTGGATTATTGGCTGCAGCAGGTTGGTGGCTCAGATGATTCATAAATGTGTGCAGTGCAGGAAGATCAGACGTCCAGTGGAAGAACAACTTATGGCTGAGCTTCCAAAAGAACGCTTGGAAGCATCTGCACCATTTACCTATTGTGGAATGGACTGTTTTGGTCCTTTTATTGTTAAAAGAAATCGTAAGGAATACAAAAGGTATGGGTTGTTGTTCACCTGCCTTTATTCAAGAGCTGTTCACATTGAAATGTTGGAGGATTTGTCCACAGATTCTTTTATTAATGGCCTGCGCTGTTTCATTAGTTTGAGAGGAGCCGTTCGCCAGATATATTGTGATCAAGGAAGAAATTTTGTAGGAGCCCAAAATGAGTTTAAACAATGTGGTCCTAAACATTTGGAGTCTTTCCTGGCAGAAAATCAATGTGAGTTCATTTTTAATGCACCATCAGCAAGTCATGCTGGTGGTGTTTGGGAGCGTCAGATACGAACCATTCGAAATGTATTAGCTTTTACTCTATCACAAAACTTGGGAAAACTTGATGATGCTTCATTAAGAACTTTCTTTTATGAAGCCATGGCCATAATTAATAGTCGTCCTTTAACACTGAAGGGAATGAATGACCCTGGTTCTCTTGAACCTTTAACTCCTAACCATCTGCTTCAGATGAAGTCTGAGTCTGCCTTGCCTCCTGTAGGAAAATTTGTGAGGGAGGATATCTATTCCTCAAAACGTTGGCGCCGTGTGCAGTTTCTGGTTGAGCAGTTTTGGAGTCGGTGGAAGAGAGAATACCTCCAGAATATTTCCATTAGACAAAAATGGCATGTAGTTCGGCGCAATTTAAAAATAAATGATATTGTAATAGTAAAAGAGGATTTTCTCCCAAGAAATAGGTGGCAGTTGGGTCGTGTTGTTGAAACAATTGTTGATAGCGATGGCTTGGTTCGAAAAGTAAAATTGAGGACAGGAGAACAAAGATCAGGTAGGGATATTATTTCTAAGAGTTCAGTAATAGAAAGACCGGTGCAAAAATTGGTGGTGTTATTAGAAAATGATTTGTAAACTTAATGTACACAGACGAGCATGTTTTTAAACAATCTGCATGATTTTTTTTTTAAAAAAAAACCTTTTAAATAATGCATAATTTTAGTAATGGTTCATGCATTATTGGTGGGAGTGTAACGGATTGTAAAATGAAATGTCTAAATTATTTGTAGTTTATTTAAATTAAACTATTTAAATGAATTTCTAATTTAAGACTGTTGCAGATTGTTTATGTATGTTTGTCTGTTTTGGTTTGCATTGTTGGTGATTTATTTGGTTTAATGGTATTTTGTAATGTTTTGGGATTTTTTTTGTTTAATACGTACCTCACGGGCTGCCGTAGAGAAAGAGGGCAGGGCCTATAAAACTGGGGAATTGCAGTGAACCAAATGAACTGTCAAACGTTGGACTAAGAAATGGCGTTCCCCAGGAAAGGCAGCGAGGTACGTTTTTGTTTGTTGTTGTATTGTTGATTTGTGTTGTATTTTAATATTTGTATTTGTTTAGTTTTCACGGTGATGGTGATGATGATGGTGATGATGATGGAGGTTTTGAAGTCAAGTGACCTGACGATGATCCAGCAAAATCATCAAAGGAGAAATAAAGCCAATATCACCTGTCGAGACCGACTGTTTTTTAATTCAAGTACTGGGGATCAGCTACAAGCAGATTAAAATCATTTTTAAGCGTGCACTTACATTACCGTCCCCATCACGTCAACCAGTTTGTGTGTAGCAGCGGCCAGGTTGGAGAACTGACCCAGCCGAATCGGGATGTTGGTCATCAGGTCGGTTTGCACGAAGCCAGGACAAATCGTGTTGAACCGAACACCAAACCCAGAAGCCTCAGAGGCAGCCTGAAAACAAAGAACATGGTTTTCAAACAGAACCTTCCAGACCTATTCAAATCCCATCCAGAACCATACAGATCCCATCCAGAACCATTCAAATCCCATCCAGAACCATACAGATCCCATCCAGAACCATCCAAAACCATACAGATCCCATCCAGATCCCATCCAGAACCATTCAAATCCCATCCAGAACCATACAGAACCATTCAAATCCCATCCAGAACCATCCAAAACCATACAGATCCCATCCAGAACCATTCAAATCCCATCCAGAACCATCCAAAACCATACAGATCCCATCCAGAACCATACAGATCCCATCCAGAACCATTCAAATCCCATCCAGAACCATCCAGATCCCATCCAGAACCATTCAAATCCCATCCAGAACCATCCAGAACCATTCAAATCCCATCCAGAACCATCCAAAACCATACAGATCCCATCCAGAACCATCCAGATCCCATCCAGAACCATTCAAATCCCATCCAGAACCATTCAAATCCCATCCAGAACCATCCAAAACCATACAGATCCCATCCAGAACCATCCAGATCCATTCAAATCCCATCCAGAACCATACAGAACCATCCAGATCCCATCCAGAACCATACAGATCCCATCCAGAACCATACAGATCCCATCAAGAACCATACAGATCCCATCCAGAACCATACAGATCCCATCCAGAACCATACAGAACCATCCAGATCCCATCCAGAACCATACAGTTCTAATCCAGAACCATACAGATCCCATCCAGAACCATACAGATCCCATCCAGAACCATACAGATCCCATCCAGAACCATACAGTTCTAATCCAGAACCATACAGCTCCCATCCAGAACCATCCAGATCCCATCCAGAACCATACAGATCCCATCCAGAACTATACAGTTCTAATCCAGAACCATACAGATCCCATCCAGAACCATACAGATCCCATCCAGAACCATACAGAACCATTCAAATCCCATCCAGAACCATCCAAAACCATACAGATCCCATCCAGAACCATCCAGATCCCATCCAGAACCATTCAAATCCCATCCAGAACCATCCAGAACCATTCAAATCCCATCCAGAACCATCCAAACCATACAGATCCCATCCAGAACCATCCAGATCCCATACAGAACCATCCAGATCCCATCCAGAAACAACCAGATCCCATCCAGAACCATACAGATCCCATCAAGAACCATACAGATCCCATCCAGAACCATCCAGATCCCATCCAGAACCATACAGAACCATCCAGATCCCATCCAGAACCATACAGTTCTAATCCAGAACCATCCAGATCCCATCAAGAACCATACATGGTTCTGGATGGTTCCCATCCAGAACCATCCAGATCCCATCCAGATCCCATACAGAACCATCCAGATCCCATCCAGAACCATACAGTTCTAATCCAGAACCATACAGATCCCATCCAGAACCATCCAGATCCCATCCAGAACCATCCAGATCCCATCCAGAACCATACAGTTCTAATCCAGAACAATACACATCCCATCCAGAACCATACAGATCCCATCCAGAACCATCCAGATCCCATCCAGAACCATACAGATCCCATCAAGAACCATACAGATCCCATCCAGAACCATCCAGATCCCATCCAGAACCATACAGAACCATCCAGATCCCATCCAGAACCATACAGTTCTAATCCAGAACCATACAGATCCCATCCAGAACCATACAGAACCATACAGAACCATACAGATCCCATCCAGAACCATACAGAACCATCCAGATCCCATCCAGAACCATCCAGATCCCATCCAGAACCATACAGATCCCATCAAGAACCATACAGATCCCATCCAGAACCATCCAGATCCCATCCAGAACCATACAGAACCATCCAGATCCCATCCAGAACCATACAGTTCTAATCCAGAACCATACAGATCCCATCCAGAACCATACAGATACCATACAGAACCATACAGATCCCATACAGAACCATACAGATCCCATCCAGAACTATACAGATCCCATCCAGAACCATACAGTTCTAATCCAGAACCATACAGATCCCATCCAGAACCATACAGAACCATTCAAATCCCATCCAGAACCATCCAAAACCATACAGATCCCATCCAGAACCATCCAGATCCCATCCAGAACCATTCAAATCCCATCCAGAACCATCCAGAACCATTCAAATCCCATCCAGAACCATCCAAAACCATACAGATCCCATCCAGAACCATCCAGATCCCATCCAGAACCATTCAAATCCCATCCAGAACCATCCAGATCCCATCCAGAAACAACCAGATCCCATCCAGAACCATACAGATCCCATCAAGAACCATCCAGATCCCATCAAGAACCATCCAGATCCCATCCAGAACCATCCAGATCCCATCCAGAACCATACAGTTCTAATCCAGAACAATACACATCCCATCCAGAACCATACAGATCCCATCCAGAACCATACAGATCCCATCCAGAACCATACAGATCCCATCCAGAACCATCCAAAACCATACAGATCCCATCCAGAACCATCCAAAACCATACAGATCCCATCCAGAACCATACAGATCCCATCCAGAACCATCCAAAACCATACAGATCCCATCCAGAACCATCCAGATCCCATCCAGAACCATACAGTTCTAATCCAGAACCAACCAGATCCCATCAAGAACCATACAGATCCCATCCAGATCCCATACAGAACCATCCAGATCCCATCCAGAACCATACAGTTCTAATCCAGAACCATACAGATCCCATCCAGAACCATACAGATCCCATCCAGAACCATACAGTTCTAATCCAGAACCATACAGATCCCATCCAGAACCATACAGATCCCATCCAGAACCATACAGATCCCATCCAGATCCCATCCAGAACCATCCAAAACCATACAGATCCCATCCAGAACCATACAGATCCCATCCAGAACCATCCAAAACCATACAGATCCCATCCAGAACCATCCAGATCCCATCCAGAACCATCCAGATCCCATCCAGAACCATTCAAATCCCATCCAGAACCATTCAAATCCCATCCAGAACCATCCAAAACCATACAAATCCCATCCAGAACCATCCAGATCCCATCCAGAACCATTCAAATCCCATCCAGAACCATCCAGAACCATTCAAATCCCATCCAGAACCATCCAAAACCATACAGATCCCATCCAGAACCATCCAGATCCATTCAAATCCCATCCAGAACCATCCAGATCCCATCCAGAACATCCAGATCCCATCCAGAACATCCAGATCCCATCCAGAACCATACAGATCCCATCAAGAACCATACAGATCCCATCCAGAACCATCCAGATCCCATCCAGAACCATCCAGAACCATCCAGATCCCATCCAGAACCATACAGTTCTAATCCAGAACCAGATCCCATCCAGAACCATACAGATCCCATCCAGAACCATACAGATCCCATCCAGAACCATACAGTTCTAATCCAGAACCATACAGATCCCATCCAGAACCATACAGATCCCATCCAGAACCATACAGATCCCATCCAGAACCATACAGATCCCATCCAGAACCATTCAAATCCCATCCAGAACCATCCAAAACCATTCAAATCCCATCCAGAACCATCCAGATCCCATCCAGAACCATTCAAATCCCATCCAGAACCATCCAAAACCATACAGATCCCATCCAGAACCATCCAGATCCCATCCAGAACCATTCAAATCCCATCCAGAACCATACAGAACCATCCAGATCCCATCCAGAACCAACCAGATCCCATCCAGAACCATACAGATCCCATCAAGAACCATACAGAACCATCCAGATCCCATCCAGAACCATACAGTTCTAATCCAGAACCATTCAAATCCCATCCAGAACCATACAGAACCATACAGATCCCATCCAGAACCATACAGATCCCATCAAGAACCATACAGAACCATCCAGATCCCATCCAGAACCATACAGTTCTAATCCAGCACCATACAGATCCCATCCAGAACCATACAGATCCCATCCAGAACCATACAGATCCCATCCAGAACCATACAGTTCTAATCCAGAACCATACAGATCCCATCCAGAACCATACAGATCCCATCCAGAACCATACAGTTCTAATCCAGAACCATCCAGATCCCATCAAGAACCATACAGATCCCATCCAGAACCATACAGATCCCATCCAGAACCATACAGATCCCATCCAGAACCATACAGATCCCATCCAGAACCATACAGATCCCATCCAGAACCATACAGATCCCATCCAGAACCATACAGATCCCATCCAGAACCATACAGTTCTCATCCAGAACACGTAGAACATTCTTCCAGAACAGGAAGATTTGTTTTTTATTATTGCTTAGAAACTGTTTCTTTTGCAAATTTAGAGCATACTTAGAAAGTCCAGAGGATACGTGAATAGAAGTATCTAGTTTATTTACTTTGGATCAACATTATCAGCTTTTTTTCTTTGCTCTTTTCTTTAGTTTGTTAATTTGACTGTTTTTTCTTTTAATTCCTGTAAAGCGCTTTGTATTGCCTTGTTGCTGTATATGTGCTGTATAGATAAACTAACCTTTGCAGAACCATCCAGAACCAGTCACAGCTGTCTTTCTTAATGGGGACATGTTATTAAAAATTCACATTTTTGTTCTTCCGTTCTGGTCTCTGCTGCTTCTAGAGCAGACCGAGGTCTTTAAAAATCCTCCCAGCTGTTTTTGGCAATAAGTCATGATTAGTTTGATTTAAAATAGGAGCAATAAATA